TTGTATAAAAATAGACACATTGTCCAATGAAATAGAATTGAGAGTCCAGAAATAAATCCACATTTATGATAAACTGATTTTGACAAGTGTGCTAAAGTCCATTTGATGACGAAGGAAGTCTCTTCAATAAATAATGCTGAGAAATGCTGGAGTAATGCTGGATTTCTGCATGGAGATGAATGAAACAAGATCCTTGCCTTTTACCATACCCCAAAACAAATTGAAAATGGTTAAGGACATAAATGTGCAAACTAAAACCATAAAATTCTTAAAAGAACAAGCAAGGGCAAAGCTGTCAGGCCTAGCTTTCAACAGTGAATTATCTAATAGCAAAAGCACAAGGAACACAACACAAAATAAATGAGACCTCATAAAAATGGTTCAAGCCCACCAGCCACTCCTCTGAAGGAAGGTTGGGCAATCTACTTTCGTAGTGATACCACCTCAGAAACCCAAGGAGGGGTTGGTATGAGTCAGAATCCGACTTGATGGCAATAAGGTACTCCACAAAAGACTTTACAAAAAAGTGAAAAAGACAAGCTACTGACTGGGAGAATCTCTTAGGAAACTATCTGACAAGGATATAACAACAACAATGCATTGTGGTAAAGTGTGGTCAATGACATGAGACAAAGTATATGTGAACTGCTGTATGGAAAGTGAATTTGCTCTGTAAATCTTCACCCAAATCACAATAAATTAAAAAAAAAAAAGAAAAAAGAATATAACAACAACAAAAAGACAACCCAGTGATCAAATGAGCAAAGGACTTGAATAGACATTTCACCAAAAAGGACATTTAAATGACCACCAAACACATGAAAAGATGTTCAGTTCCATTAGACATCAGGGAGATGTAGATCAACATGATGAGATATCATTTCAATCCAACTAGGACAGCTAAGATTAAAATGAAAATAGCAAATGATGGTGAGAATATAGTAAAATTGGAATGCTTATCTTTTGCTGTTGGTACTGTTGTGGAAAACAGTGACAATTCCTTAAAAAAAAATCTAAAAATAGGACTGCCATATGACACAGCAATTCCACTCCTAGGTATATACCCAAAAGACTTGAAAGCAGATATACTCAAGACAGACTTGTACACCAGTTTTCATTGCAGCACTATTCACAGTAGCCAAAATGTGGAAACAACCTAAATGCTTATTAACACATGAATGGATAAACAAAATGTAGTACATCTACATACAATGGAATACTGCTCAGCCAATGGGAGAAATGAACTCTTGATGCATGCTAAAATACGAATGGAACTTAAAGACATTATCCTGAGTGAAATAAGCCAGTTGCAAAAAGGCCAATATTGTATGACCTTACTTATGTAAAAAGACAAGAAAAAGGCTAATGCATAGAAAGTAGTTTATTAGTGGTTACCACAGACAGGAGGGAGGGGGAAATAAAGGGTTAATGATGATAGAAACATTTCATTGATTAAAGGTAGGATTGTGTGGTAGTTAAGGTTGTGTGTCAGTTTGGCTGTTACTCCCCATGATGAGATTAGGTGTGGTATAATCACTTTCATGGTAGAATCTGCTGTGAGCAGTTAATCAGTTGAAGGAGCATTGCCTTTGAGGTGTGGTCTGCTTCCAGTATATATAGAAAGGATTCTGCGTTTGGTTTAGTTTTCATCTCCAGTTCCTGGACTTGAACCAGTAGCCTGCTGTGTTGCCTGCCGATCTTGGGATTGTGCCATTCATTTTACCTGCTGATCTCGGGTTCATCAGCCTTAGCAGCCAACAGCTGTGTGAGTTAGGAGACACCTCCAGCTTGCTCTAGTGGGCCTGGAACAAGAGGCAGAGCTGAAGCCCAAGGACAAGGGGCCTTCACCCAGCCCCTAGACCCAGCACTCTGAACTCAGACTTCTAGTCTCCAGAACTGTAAGAAAATAAATTCCTGTTTGTTAAAGGCATCCACTTGTGGTATTTCTGTTAAAGCAACACTAGAGAACTAAGGTTGCACAGCTGATTATTGTAATTGCTGTCAATAAGGTATCACCTGTAAAAGTTTCATTGGCAAAAGTTGTGTGATAGATTAAAAAAAAAAAAAATAGAGTAGCTTCTGAGGCTGCTTACGTACAACCACACACCTCATAGGATTTAGTTCTTTGGTTTGGAGGTTTAAAGGTCATGGTTTCATGGGATATCCCAGTTAATTGGTCCAGTAACATATTTTGTGCTTCTCTGCTGCCTCCTAATTTGTTGTGTAGTACCGAGGGTATTAAAAGTTTGTAAGCAGCCATCCAAGGCATGGAGCAACAGAGGAAGAACAGTCAGGAATAGGAGGAGGATATGGAATGTGTGGCTTATTGCCTCCATGGATGACTGCCTCCGTTGCCATGACATGAGAAGAACTGGATAGTGCCTGGCTACCATTACTGAACATTTTGATTAATGATTCCATGGAAGAATCCTGATCAAATGGGGGAAATATGGAACAGAATTTCAAATTCTCATGAATTCTAAACATTCTGGAGCCATGGAGAGTGGATGAATTCCTGCAAATACTGCCCTGAAATAAATCTTTCAACCTTAAACTAAAAATATCCCCTGACTTCTTAAAAACCAAACGATAGTTTAGCTTAAATATAAAAAAGATCTACCTTGAGCATTATACTTTTTTTTTAAGTAATTTTTTTGTGAAAGTTTACAGAGGAAATTCATTTTCCATACAGTAGTTCATACACATTTTGTTTCATGACATTGATTACAATTCCCATAATGTAGCAGTTCTCTTTCCACTTCCTCCCTGTGATTGCCTTTTCCTTGTATCCTTCTTTCCTATGCATTCCTGCCCTCTGAGTTATCTCCCTGTGCAAATTCTGCCCTTTTGATCTCCCATGATTGATTCTGCTAAGGAGTATACCTACCTGGTGTAAATGTTCACCTTACATTGCATGCCTGCTGTTTGCCTGGAAGCTATAGGAGTGATGCCAGGCCTGAAGGGTCATTAGGAGCCATAGTCTTGGGGGATTCACCAGTGCCTGTCAAACTAGTAAGCCTGGTCTTTTTTAGATTTTGAGTTTTGTTCCACATCGTTCTGCCACTCTATTCATGATTTCCTGCTGATACTTTTCTGATTGGTTGACAGTGGTAGCTGGATACCATCTAGTTCTTCTGGTCTCATGGTCATGTAGGCTGAAGTTCACACAGTCCAGTAGTCCCTTGGACTAATTGTCTCCGTGCATGTTTGGTTCTCTTCATTTTTCTTCACTATAGACTAGAAAAGACCAGCTGTTGCATCTAGATAGTCACTTGCAAGCTTTTAAGACCCCAGCAATTACTCATCAAAGTAGGATGTGGAACACTGTTTTTGTGTAGTACCAATTGAGCTTGATGTCCCCTGTGACCATGGTCCCAAGCCCACAGGTCCAAAAACTTGCTCCATCATGGTGGTTAGCTGTGGCTTAGAAGTTATAACTTTGCCCCTTTTTTTCTAGTTATATGGACATCCTTACAGCGCATACAAATACGTATGTAGAAATATCATCTGCCAACCTTATATATGGTCATGGGTATATTCCCTTTTGCCTAGACATACCTGATCCTTCAGCCTATCTTCCTGCAGATTAATATTGTTACTGATAATGCAGTGTTGTGTATGTAAAAGTGTGTATCTTTGTTGTCTATACCTCTTCTGTACCTCTCTGTCTTCCTTTTTAGTGTTATTGTGTTGGTCACTCACTTTTGGTATATTGCCTTCCCTTGACTTTCTACAATAGTGGACTAATATTTGTCCTCCTATGATCAACTAAGGAGCTCTGGTAGTGTAGTGCCTAAGGCACTTGACTGCTAACCAGAAGGCTGGCAGTTCAAATCCACCAGCCACTCCTCAGAAGGAAGACTGGGCAATCTACTTCCGTAGTGATACTGCCTCGGAAACCCAAGGAGGGGTCACTCTGAGTCGGGTCCGACTCGACAGCACACAACAACAACAACAACATGATTGACTAATTTCACTCAGCATAATACCCTGCAAGTACATCCATGTTATGAAGTGTTTCATGAATTCTACATTATTCTTTAGTGTTGCATAGTATTCCATTGTGTGTATGTACATACCATAGTTTGGTTATGTATTCCTCTGCTGATGAGCACTTAGGTTGTTGTTTCATGTCTTTGCTGTTGCGAATAGTGCAGCAATGAACATGGGTATGTGAGCATTATGCACTTTTTTAAGAACTACCTCTATAGGATCAAACTTACAATGGCAACTCAAAAGGATAGGAACCTTAGGGGGCAGTAAGTTTATGTTAAAGAGAGAGGAACAACTCAGAAAAGGAGAATGAGAATGGGTGCTCAACTCAAAGAATATAATCAAAGTCATTAGGTTGTACATGTAGAAACTTGATTGGTGTATATTTTGCTGTGTATATTCTCAACAACAGCAACAAAATAAAGTATAATGTAAAAAAAAAATTGCTTTAGTTTATAGAGTACTTTACTGTATGAGATCTCATCTGATGCTCAGAATATCCCCATGACTAGGATGACAGGTTTGCTGTTGTCATCTGCAGTTCACAGAAAAAGAGAGGTGCAGTTCACAGAAAAAGAGAGGTGAAGGTCAGCCAATACATTTCAATATTAGTACTATAAGATAACTAACTAGCTAGACCTTTCATATTTTGCAGAAGTCCCTTATTCCCTCCAAAAGAAAAGAATTTATATATGTTCTGCCTTAATTTTCAATATGAAGGACCTCTAGTGGTACTGTGGTTAAGGCTTTGAGCTGTTAACCAGAAGGTTGGCGGTTCAAACCCACCAGCTAGTCCATGGGAAAATGATGAGGCAGTCTGCTTCAGTAAAGATTTATAGGGTTGGGAACCCTATGGGGGTTGTATTTGCTCTGCCTTGACTTTCAGTATGGGAATGTATTATCTCAACGACCTCAAATTCTTTTTTGGAATAATAAAACGTAATGAACAGTTGAATTGCTGGATTTGATGTAATTGTTTAAGTGCATAATCATTACTACCCTCTCAGATGTTACTATCCAGAACAGCGAGTTGATGAGTGGCAGCATGGACAAAGGAACACTGGGATCTGGATCCAAGAACAATATTTTTTACATTCTGCTGCGTGACTGGGGGCAGAATGAAGCTGCTGATGCAATGTCCCGGCTTGCCAGGCTGGCTCCTGTCTACCTCTGTGAGTATCTTGGCTTCCTCATTTTATTGCTGTCGTTGTTGGGGTTGTAGGCTGTAATGTTATTTTTTCCTTTCAGTGTTGTTTCATCACCCTCCACACTCCACCTCTCTACACAGTTACACAGAAAAGGATACTTACTCCAGGCTAAATTATTTGTGCTTTCCTTAATGAAGTGAACTCAGTATTCACCAGTTGGTTTGCAAATAAGGATTTACTTTTCAGTTCTCTTCTCAAAATCTGTAGTAGCTCCTTATTCCCTACCATGTGTACTTAATGGTATATAAAAGGCCCTTTATGCATCTACTATAGCCTTGTGGACCTTCCATGATTCAACCCTACCAGGTTACAGTGTTATCTACTATGCTTGCACTATTCCATTTCCTTTGTTTGCTCATCCTTTGAGAATGTCATGTGCAAAGCACATTTTGTGTGCCCCAAAACGTCTGTATTCTACCCTTACACTTTTTTCCCCCTACCCTGCTACTTGGTTGACACTTTGGTTGGGTACAGAATTCAGAATTATTTTCCTTCAGAATGTAGAAGTTACTGCTTTGTTCTGTTCTAGCTTTCAGAGTTGTTAAAAAGTGTATTACTGTTCTTATTCCCAAATTTTTGTATTTGAATTTTTTTCTTCATTCCAATAGCTTGGGAATTCTCTCTTTCTTCTTGGTGTTCTGAACTTCCCAATTGATACAAGGTTTTTTTCGTTCATTGGTCTGGGCACTCAGGAAGTTTTTTTTAATCTGTAGCAATGTATCCTTCAGTTCTAGAAATTTATATTCTTTAGTAAGTTTCTCTCCTTCACTTTTTTCTTTTTGTAATTTCTGTTACCTTCATACTAGACCTTCTTTTCCTTCCACTATCAGGTACTTAAGGAGCTAGTGGCACGATGGTTAAGTGCTTGGCTGCTGAACAAAAGTTTGGTGGTTCAAACCTACCCAGTGACTACACAGGAGAAAGATTTGTTGGTGTGCCTCCATAAAGACTACAACCAAGAAATCCTTATGGGGCCTGTTCTGGTTACCTAGTGCCACTCTGACAAGAATACACCACAAATGGGATGGCCCTAACAAACAGTTTATTCTTACAATTTGGAGGCTTTAAGTCCAAGTTCAAAGTGCCAGGCTCTAGGGGCTGGGTCAAAGCCCCTCAACCTTGGGGTCCAGCTCTGCCTCCTGCTCCCGGCCCACTGGAGCTGGAGGTGTTTCTTCACTCAGACAGCTGCTGGCTGCTGAGGCTGAGAAGGCCCAAGGTTGACAAGTAAAAAGGTACAGTCCCAATGTTACTAAACAACACAGCAGGCCATTAACTTAAGTCCATTGTAAGTCCCAAGGTCAGCAGAGCATGGCAGGCTACTGAGCAACGACACGGCTATATGCAGGGTCCAAGCATGCCATAGGCTAGAGACCATTCCCAAGGCTTCTCCTTAAATACAGGAAGCAGACCACATCCCAAAGGCAGCTACTCAGCTGCTTGTAGTAGATCCCACCATGGAGTTGATTGCCAGTCTTATCATGGGGAATAACTGCCACCAGCTGCCCAGCCACTGAACCAGCCAAGTTGACACACAAACGTAACTACCACAGGGCAATTCTGTTCTGTCACATGGAGTCACTATGACTCAGAATTGATTTGAAGTCACCTAACAACAGCCACATCATGTATTTAATTTCAAATTGTATTTTTTATTATGTTCATAGATAGTTGCTGTTATTTTTTTATTTTTATTTTTTAAGGCTTCCTGTTTTTGACCCCTGTATATATCTCCATTGATTATTCTGAGAGTATTTTTCATTATTTTATTCTATTTGCTCCATGAATTTTCTGTTTTTGTCTCTTTTTCTCTGCATTTTTCATCTTCTATCTTTCACATTAAGGACTTTCTTCAAATATTCAGTGGTCGTCTTTTAAGAGTGAGGCACAACAACACTGTTTGGAAATGCAGCTTATAGCTAGATGGACCTCAGTTCCTTGATTAAGCTGGAAGCCAGCTTTGTTACTGACGGACTACCAAATATTTCTACCAGTAATGCTTTTCTCTAGGGGCCCTTAGTTTCTCTAGAGACCTCCCTTCCAGTCTCAGTCGCCAACTCAAAGAATAGAGACATAGTTGCCAGGGTTCTGGGAGCTGGACAGGGAAAGGGGCTAAGGATCCAGTCATGGAATATACAGATTTATCCTCATTGTGTCCGGGTTTTCATTTATCCCATCTGGCTGGGCCTAGTATCTCTAAATCCAGAACCTCTCTGATTTCATTTCTTAGAAAATAAATTCCCACATCCTGTAGGAAGAAGGACCTGGGGCCTATTTCTTCTGCAGACTTTCCACCCAATTTTATTTGTTTCCAACATATACATCTCCAGCAATTGCAGAACTTGGCAGTCTAGTTTCTGAGCCTTTCCAGGTTTCTGCCAGATAGGCTCATTGGTCCTTAGATATCCCATTCCCCACCCTGCAAGCCAGTTGCCACTTATCCATCCACTTTACTTATATATATATATATCATGGTTAGGATTATTGAGAGCTCCTAGTTTCATCAGAGGTGAAGTTTATGTTTGTTTCTTGTTCTCTGGATTTTGGAATGATTTCTGAGAGAGGAAGTGGTTAGACAGGTCTCTACTGTGCCAACCTAGAACCAAGTCACATGGCTCCCTCTCTGTGGTTTGCTTGCTCAGGCTACACTTTCATATATGCAAAGTCAATCTGTTTTATAATTAGTTGGGAATGTTACTGTGTCCCCCACTCTGAGAGATGTCAGTGAGTTTTATAGAACTATATAGGGAGTGATATACTAAATTTTAATTGAATTGAATTATGGAAAATTCTGTAGTAAGTTTATTGACTAACATCTATGGCTCTCTGTTCCTGCCTTACCTGGAATTATTCTACAGCTAACCGTGGATTCTCCATTGGGATTGGTGATGTCACACCTGGTCAAGGACTGCTGACGGCCAAATATGAACTGCTGAATGCTGGCTACAAAAAATGTGATGAGTATATCGAGGCCTTAAACACGGGCAAGCTGCAGCAGCAGCCCGGCTGCACTGCTGAGGAGACCTTGGAGGTGAGTCTCTCGCCTGGTTCCCTTTAGCCACTTCAGAATCACCTTGGCTGAAAGGACGTCCCCTGGGCCACTGAGAAAGTCGCAGAGGAGAGCAGGAATTAAAGGCAGCAGTCATCATCCAGTCTGGGCTCTGAGCTGTTTGCGTGTATTGTTTGGTGAAGGGAAGGGCTCCTACTAGATTCTTTCCCTCCCTCCCAGCTTTCCCATTCCAGGTGACAAACCAAAGCTATCTGTTCATTTGACCACATGGGGCTGCTCTCGTCCCATTGTCGCTTGCAGGCTCCTTCTGTAGCTGGTACTTACGTGCCTCTGTTCTATTTCAGCATCCTTTGAGTAGAAACTGACACTAAGCTCTTCAAGTAGATAGTCTTTGAAAGAGACTCAGATACATAAGAGGGAGAATTCATGTTTAGTAGTCACATAATCAGTCTGCTGCTCTTTCACATTTGAAAGTAGATTAGCTGGAAACTCAACCAGCTTTTATTAGAATCAGAATCACCAGTAGCCTCTGAGAGCCCTTGCTTGAGTGGCTTCTTCTGCCTCAGCCATAGCATGTGGCTCAGAGCTTTGACTCACCTAACTGAAAGAAAGGCTCTTTAAGCACTAATAACTTTTCTGATTAAATGATTATTTTGAAGCATGGAGGTATCCGTCCCGAGATAATCACCATTCATTCACCAATGAGGTATTCATCATTCTAAATCTCACTGAGTATTTTAAAAGGAAAGATAAATGGATGTTTCTCACTGGTACCTTCCTAGAAAATTCCTTAAGGTCTCAGCAGCACTAGTATTTAATGTGGGCATGACTCCTGGCTGATTCAACTCCTGAGTTGTGAGTTGAGATTATAGGTCAGAAGGTGTGAATGTGCTCATAGGCCAGTATATTCCCATAGAGTCAGTCACCTTGTCATGCACGTCACGTAGAGAAATTGAGGTATATACGCTTGGCAAGAAAAAAGAGACGTTTTATAAAAAATGCAAACCGTTCTTTTGTACAGCCTATGTATGTCTTTTCTTTTCTCCATTTGTACGTGTGCATTGTGGTAGAAGGAACCGTGCACAAAGCCATGGACGTGTTACTTTATGGGTCACTTAAAGAATTTTTTATATGTTTTGTTACTGAATAGTTTTACCATCACATTGATTTTAGAACCCTGGTGTAAGATGCAGGTCTTTATAGATAGGGAATTTTGGTCCCCTAAGGCTGAAATCTTTTATCTATTGGACATCTGACTTGCTTTTAAACTTTTTCAAAGTTCTTTCAATGTCAGATTGAAAATTTACAGCCAGCAGTATCAGTGAAGATGCCTCCACCACGGGTCTCTCCCTCTCTCTGACCAGGCATTGATCCTTAAGGAGCTGTCTGTGATCCGTGACCACGCGGGCAGTGCCTGCCTCCGAGAGCTGGACAAGAGCAACAGCCCCCTCATCATGGCACTTTGTGGCTCGAAAGGTGAGGGTGCTTCTCTCAGGCTGCTTTCATCTTATTCTCCATATGGGCTGGTTGCTTTCATTCTGGAAAATGTAATAATCATGACTTCAAGCAGGCATTTTATTATAAACCAAACTCACTGCCATCGAGTCAATTTTGACTCATGACAACCCGCTTTGGGTTTCCAAGGCTGTAAATCTTTACGGAAGTAGATTGCCTAGTCTTTCTTCCATGGAGTGGCTGGTGGGTTTGAACTGCCATCTTTCTGGTGCCTTAGGCACTACACCACCAGAGCTCCTTATTTTATTTATAGGCCATATGTTTTAAAAATAACATATATATAGAAAAAGAGATTTAATTATTTGTACCTTAGGAATTTGACTCCTTTGGAAGAACTTCTGGCAGTGTGTATATAGGATTTGTGAAATTTGGGATGCTTTCAGCAAACTTGGTCTTTAAACAAAGTAAAGTAAGGATTTGTTAATCATATATTTATTATGTATGATGTGGCAAAACTTTAATTTCAGTAACCCAAGAGTTTAAACCATTAGGTTTTATGATATTGCCTTCAAATACAAACCTTTTAGTGCTTCTCCAATTTCTGTAAGTTTTTGAACAGAATGAAGTCTAGTCTCTTTAACTTTGCTGACTTTCATCTCATTATTCTCCTCTTCCTGCTCATGGTACATAGCCTGTATTTTCCTGTTCATTCTTGTATCTTTGCTCCCCACTCTTCCACCCACTTTGGAATTCCTCCCCCCACCTATCTTTATGCCCAACTGATGATGTTCTCAAAAGCCTGCCCTGCTCTCTCCTGCCTTCTCCAGCAACGTCGACCTCTTGCATTTCTCTCCGTTCACTCCTCAGCACCTGTAGCCCTGGTCTGCCTGGCTTGTATACTGACAGCTTTCTGCCCTGTTATTCTAGCTCTGTTGTTTACTGCCCCTAGACTATGAACTTGTTGAGGATAGGCCCTTTGCTGTCTGATATTCCTGTTTTATCCCACAGCACTACTTGCACTTCAGTTAATGTAATTTAGGTAAATGAATATTTATTCCTGACCCGTTTCCTTAGGTTCCTTCATTAACATATCACAGATGATTGCCTGTGTGGGGCAGCAGGCCATCAGCGGCTCTCGAGTGCCAGATGGCTTTGAAAACAGGTCCTTGCCTCACTTTGAAAAACATTCCAAGGTAAGCAGTAGTGAGTTAATGAGAACTTTTTTTTTCTTTTTAACTTTTTATCGTGATTTGAAGTTTACAAAGCAGATTCGTTTTACATTCAACAGTTCATGTACATTTTTGTTTTATGACACTGATTACAATCCCCACAATGTAATAGCTGTCTTCCCACTTCCTCTCTGTGATTACCCTTTCCTTGTGTCCTTCTTTAGGCAGAACTTTTAAGACAGAGCATCAGCAGTTCAGAAAAGAGTCATTAAAGTGTCTCTTGGAGTTGGTGGTAGAAAGAATAGGAACAGCTCAAGGTTATTTCTCCTTCACCCCAAATGCTTGGAGCTGGAAGAGTTGGTCCAGTGCCCTCTATGAGGAACAGGATTTCAGATTGCCCTCCAGCGTGTGTAGTCAAATATATAGTGCCTATATAAATGCATAGAACAGGCCCATATAAATGCGTAGAATAGGTATGCTTATTTTTTGGGCACTTAGAGTAAAAATCTGAAAGTTTTAAAAATAGTCATGGTATGAAGCACAGTAAAATGACCAGAAAATTCCAGGTTTTCTCTGCAGCTCTCAAGCACAATTTTAATTAATTTTTGGGTTCCATTGGCCCTGGTAGTTTGGGCTCTAGTATAAGCAGTGTAAAAGAGAAACACAGACAATGGTCTTTCTGCGACTCAGGAACAGATAAGTCCTAAGTTGTAGTTGAGAACCTCAGAGTAGATTTGGTCGCTCAGTACATTCTGGATCTGGAGTCAGCCATGGTTCCCATTACAGCCTAGGTGCCCCAGCTGCTCCTCGCCCCTGCAACCACAGGGTTTATGTCCAGCCCCTATGTGGGAGATAGGACTGCCATATTGAGAGTATGTAGATCCTCTCTATAAAGATAGCCCCAGAAACAATTTAAGCTACCTGCCCAAAGTCAGAATCTCCCAGGGGTCAGCAACTAGGTGGCCACTGGAAGGGGACCTGCCAGAGTTTGTCACGAGGCCCATTTCAGGCTGAAAGCTCTAAGGCAGCCTGCTCAGTTTAGAGGAGTGGCCAGGACCTCCAGACTCCTAGTCTCTAACCCATGCTAGACTCTGGGGACATCTGTGCTGACCTGGAGTTGGCTTTGCATACACCAATGAGAGAAGAAAGTAAAGGGCTAGACTGGTCATCTAAGCTGTCCTCTAAAGAACACACACCTGTCCAGATCAAAGGCCATTTCATGTGGTTAGATTGACAGATAAACATTCATACCATTTTTATTGAGATATTTCACATACCATAACATTCACCCATTTAGAGTGTACGGTTCTCTGACTTCAGCCTATCCAGAGTTGTGCAGCCATGACCACAGTCCACTTTTAGAATATTTTCAGTGCCCCAGAATGACATCCCATAACTATGCTCCATCATGGTTAAATTTTGGAACTAGGTAGGTCACTGGCCCACAGGAGGGGGCTTATTTCAGGGGGCCAGCTGCCTCAGTCACCATCTACTCTTGAAGTGCTTATCTGCTTTCATTTGCTCTAGGGGGAGCAGCCCAGGTTCACCTTTCCCTCCCCCAAAGTCCTTGCTTGACCCTGGAACCATCTCCAACCCTGGCTGGGCCCTCACCCTTCTTTGTCTCTAGAAGGTGGTTTGTACCAAATTATTTCTCCCATAGAAGAGGGCATATAGAACTTGCCATTTCATGAGTGTGTATAAGCCAGGTATTTATAACCTAAAGGTGGGGCCTTTTCTGATTTCAGTGGATTTTTTAATTGTGGACCTTGAACTGTTTTTGTTTGGTTTTCTTTTTTCCTACCTCTCTTTAGCTCCCAGCTGCCAAAGGCTTTGTGGCTAATAGCTTTTATTCCGGTTTGACACCTACCGAGTTTTTCTTCCACACAATGGCCGGCCGGGAAGGCCTGGTCGACACGGCTGTAAAGACAGCTGAAACAGGATACATGCAGGTAACTTGAAGAAATACAGGCCCTTAGCAAGGGAGCAGCACAGGGATCTGTGGGTTTTGACTGTTGAATGTTTACATCTTTTGCACATGAACATAATTTACCCAGTCTTGATATTTCAAAGGAAAATTTAGAAGTATGAAAACTCACTCCCATCAAGTCAAGTCTGACTCAGCAACCCCCACTGGATGTCTGAGGTGATAAATCTTTACCAAAGTAGATTGCCCAGTCTTCCTTCCCTGGAGTGGCTAGTGGGTTTGAACCACCAACCTTCTGGTTAGTAGTCAAATGCCTTTAGGCACTGTACCACCAGAGCTCCTTTTATATGAGTGTAGGTGCCCTGGAAATAAATAACAAAATCGTTAACAGGTTCCAAATCCTCCCATAAACCTCGAATACTAAATACCAGGCGCCAACAGGGAGAACATGGACTGGAGTGCATCCTGAACTATGTCATCTAACCCCACAGGGGCTCTCTTTCCTAATATCTGGAAATGGAATGATATACATACATCCTGGTATTAAGAAGACTCAGGGAAAGCACTCTGCAGCTAGTTTATGTAACTCATTATTAAAAATCTTTCCCATTGACTGACTCCAAATCAGCCTGTTCAGGGCCTGCAGGCGGCTTGGACAGTAAGAGGGAAGACTTTCCCCCGTGTGTATAGTTCCAAATAGGCATGCAGTATGGGGCTTACCTAGAGAGTTCTATGCCTTCCTCACACTTTGCCACAAAAGTACCCCTGTTGGCAGAGGAGTGTGGAAATACAGCCCTACTGTATTTCTGATGTTCTTCCATCAGACCAAAGTGAAGAATTTCTTTTCAGTCTCCAATGAGGTTGTCTACTCTCTATTCAATCATTTAACTTTGTTCATTAAATGTTTTAATCTTTTTAACTGTTTAAGGTAAAGTCAGTACTCCAGGGAGCTGGGCCATGCACTTGCTGTGGTTTTGTGTCCCCTCTTCTCCCACTGTGTATCCCAGTTTGAGAACCATGGCCATTTGCGAGCTAGAAACCAGGATAGATAAAAAGCAGAGAGGAGTGAAGGAGTGGACCAGAACTAACAAGGGTGATGAGGGCAAAAATGGCCTCCATTCAGTAGACCCCGTATTCCCATAACCCTGTCTGTCCTCATGGATCACTCTCTGAGACTTCGCTTTTAATCATCTTCAGTGCGAAGTTGCCCTTCAGTTTTTGAGCATGCTGCTTTCGTCAGAACCCAGCATCCTATGAAATGTTTTCAGCACTTTTGCCATAACGTGTTTTGACTCTATTTTTTGTCTTTACCTATTTGAAGTAGAGTCTGACTTTCCCAGAGCAGAGTGAGCCGAGAACAAATGAGTTCTGGCGTGAGGGATATTTGTCTTGAAGTTGCCTGGAGGAAGAAGTGTTGAAATCACTGAGCCACCATCGCGTGACTGGCTGGTGTGTTCTGCTGGTGGAAGGTTCTCGCTGGGCAGATTTGAGAAATGATTGCCACCTACTGGGTCACAACAATGCTGTCCCTGTTCTTTTCTCTCCCCTATGTGCCAGAAGAGGCCTGCACCTGATCCTCTGTAATTCATATTGAAGTCCCCAGAAGTCCTGGCTCTTTTGCTTAAAAATGCAAAACTGTTGCATTAATTTATACCTTTGGGAAAAAGAGAAGAAAGGCAAAACAGCCTAGTTTCCTAGAGTGTTTTGGAGTGATGAGATTTATATTGCATGTATTCTAAACAACCCTGAAGTGCTAGGTGGGAACCTATTCTAAGACCACCACACAGACAAGTGAGCCGATCTCAGTGGTGGTGGTCTTGGAGCAAGGGGACCATTTTACAGAATTTCTAATGAAGTCTTTTGATATGGTGATGACAGTGCTTGTAACCTTGAAACTTTGAGTCACAAATCTCATCCTCGACACATGCAGCTAGTCTGTAAAAGCAGCTGAGCTTTTGTTTCCTCCCATCTTTTCCTTTAGAGGCGGCTTGTCAAATCCCTGGAAGATCTCTGCTCACAGTATGATTTGACTGTGCGAAGCTCTACCGGGGACATCATCCAGTTCATTTATGGGGGAGACGGCTTAGATCCTGCAGCAATGGAGGGAAAAGATGAACCTTTAGAGTTTAAAAGGGTTCTAGACAACATCAAAGTAAGGTTAAACATGATATTTGGGGTGAGAGTGTTTTCCAGAAGGGTTCTTTAGGATAAGGTACCATTTGGAACATCACACACAATACTTTAGTCATATCGCCTGACTACTGGGTGAGTCTGCGTGATTTTCCCAAATATTAAGGGGTAAACTTTTTTTTTCCAATTGAAAGCCTGCTGTTCATAGTAATCAATAGAAGAGAGCTTTGGCATCTCTGTGTCTAGTCAGGGAGTAAAGGGGAGAGGCCAGTGTATAGGTCATGGATGCTGAAAGGCTGGCATATTTTACATATAATAACTGGGAGTATAGTTCAGAACAACCTTTATAGAGGGTAGTTTGACAGTGTTCATCTGCCTTTTAGCGGTGTGTGCTTTTTGATCCAGCAGTTTCACTTACAGGAATTTGTCTGACAAAAATGTGAAAGAATGTTTCTTGAAGCAGTTTATAGTAAAGATAAACTGTCCATAGAAAAGTCAGATACATAGTGGCCTGTCAGTAGAATAGAATAGAGCCATTAAAATGCTGGGAGGAGAGGATATTTTCATTCTTGAAATATGTGTGTGTATGTGTTTAATATATATATATATTTTTATTATTATTATTATTTATTTATAATTTTATATATATATATATATAAAGCAAATCTGAGGGTGGAGTAGGGAATGAGAGTAATGGAACAATCCCCGTGACTAGTCTGGAAGTCTCAGTTTATTCTGTTTTCACATTCATGTTAAAGGTAGAATCTAAAATTCGTTTGGAAAGGAACAACAACAAAAAAATCACCAGTTGCTAAAAGTTTACTCTGGGTAATTTTATAAGGCCGTTTAGTCTCTTGTAAATTCTTTCCTTGAATACTGCCCACTTGCTTCTGACACATTACATGTTTTCCCTTTAATACTTGAGGCAGTCTTCCCGTGTCAGAATGAGCCTGCTCTCAGTAAAAATGAGCTGACCCTCACGATGGAGTCCATCATGAAGAAGACCGAGTTCCTCTGCTGCCAGGACAGCTTCCTCCAGGTGAGCCCCACGGGGGGCAGGGGTGCTCCTAGCTTGATGGTCGTTAAGAAGTAAGTTTGCCAGTGGGTCTTATAAATTAGGGTTTTAATGTAATAGTGTTCTTTCGCTAAGAAATTCAAGAATGGTCTCAGCAAAATCTTACCAGCCAACATGAAGAATTTATCTCATGTCTTTCTTAGTTTATGTCTTTCATGCAAGTGTTCTCTATTTGAGAAACTAAATGGCTTTAGTTAGAGAGCTGATTTTCTTTTTTAAAATCCTATTCGTAACACCTATTTTCTTTCTTATTGTATGGGTCAACTTATCTCTCAATCATTCTGTATCTTTTTTTTTTAGTAGTAGTATTGTTTTAATACCAGTTTTTGAAACTGCTCTTTCTCTAACTGTTCTATGGATCAGAAATTCCAGGGAGCTATTTCCTTGAGGTGTCCTTTTCAGGTTTTGTTGGTTGGTTGGTTGGTTTTAATTTTATTGAGCTGTCCCAGCAGCTCCTTCATGTTTACCTATTCATAGTTCTGATCAAAAGCAAAGGGATACAGAGATCAGTGAGTGATTTCCTTGAGTACTGACAGCTGATTCAGATGCAGCACAAGAGCTGCAGGCCAAGTATGAATGTATCCCTTCTAGTACATCAAAAATGGAAACAGCAAAGTGAAGCTTAACTAAGAATGTTTTCGTCAGGAAACTTCTCTCCTTCCATTTGTGTGTTGAAGTGTGAAAGCGGAAAAAGAAATTCTTCCAGATTTTCATATATTTAAAATCAAGAACATGACTAGGTTGAGTGCTTTGTTTTTGTTTTTTTCCAGAAACTTTGGTCTTTTTTTTTTTTCTTTTTTCAGACTAGCAAATTAGGATTATAATTTGGTTTTACAACATGACTATATTTACTTATTTATTTTTCTGTTTATCCTCCAAGACTTTAACTGAGACAGGTTATGAAAAATATAACGAGGTAATGTGATCAGCATGCCTGTGAGTTGTGAGCACAAAGGAGGGCCCTCCAGCACCCTCCGGCGATTTGCCAGCATCAGAGGCAGCAGATTTCTGTCCTTGTTCTGGCAACATGGCTTGTCTGTTCACTGCTTTGGACTGCTCCTTTTTACGTTGATGAAGTTTAAGGATAATCTCTTGGCCCACCCACCCATAGTGTCCATTTATTCCATCAGCTCGTCTGACACTCTGGTTGCCACACTCTGTCAGATCCTGGGTCACAGAGAACTGAATGTGGCCTCACCCTCCAGTCACTCACAATCTGCTGAACACCCTTTTGCCCAGACCCTCCAGAGTCCACTGGCCAGACTGTATTTGGCTGAGCCTGTGACATGTTCTCATACGAGAGCCTAAGTGACAGAGGCAGCTCTCCTAAGTGGTGTCACACCTGGCCCTTCCAGAGCCCGGTGCCCATGCTCAGAGACAAGCTGTGGATTGACTGTAAGAATTTAACTACTGGCTGATCATGTGATTAATGGCTTGCCAATTGCCATGTGTGAGTCCCCTCTAGTTTGCATGGGTTGGTTCCACTGAATTCCTAGCAGAATATTAGAGTTTTCATTTCTGCAGAGTGAACTCTTTGTTTTTTAAACCTAACTTTCAGAATATCTGGCCTAACTTTTCTGCAAGGAAAGCCAGTCCTTTCTGCAGAGCCACTGGGAACGTATCCATTTGGGTGACTGCTGAAAGATCTCATTTTCAGGGCCTGAACTGGGGCATGTTTTTCACATGTGTGCTTTTTTTAACTTGTTATGTGTGCAAAGTTCCTCACTGATGAGAATCCCCTGGGTCTCCCTGGCCATAGGCTTGCACTTTTGGTTCCCAGTGCCCACAGATGGAGCCGTTAACCCCAATCTTGAATGGCCAAATCTGGGCCAAGTGGGCCCTTCAGGAACTAAAGGACATATCCACAGCCACACAAGTGTGCAGGGTAGATAAATCACTGATGTGAGCAAGTCTCTTTATGCGGAATGCTTTCAGGGGAGAATAGCGGCAGTTAGTGTGCGTGCCTCTGGACAGTCCCACCTGTTAAAGCAGAGGCTGCAGGAGAGATTGCTCTGCTGCCCTTTCCAGCTTTGTCTGAGATCTTCCACCTCCAGTTGGCAGCTCCTGACTGCACCTGAAAAGATGGTATCAAACTTGTGACTAATAAATGAGCCTGGAGAGTTTCTCTTTAAAAAGACCCTTTGGAGAAAGTTGAAGTTCTTCCAAATTAATAAAAGTCCTTTTTTATGTTAGATGTTTGTAGCAGGATGGCTGAGCAGGGCAACAGCCCATCGTGTATCTCCGCCCTTTCTCAGTGGGCAGAAGGAGAACTGGCCAACAAGAGCAGTCATGAGAAAGCTTTGCTCTTGAACAAGGGGCAGCCGGGGTTATGATGGGCCCTCAGGCAGCTTCATGGACAGTTTGGCTCCCAGGAAACAGACTGAAATTCCAGTGGGCTAGGACAGAAATGCCTCACCACAGACTTGGAGAAAGCAGCAGACATCACAGAGAGGCCTTTAGCTTTGGGCAGGGCCCAGACATCATTCAGCACCTCGGTGCCCTCCTCTCAAGTGATAGGTAGTGCCATGCCACCTCCCTGGGAGGGCTTGCTGAGCCAGGCAGCAGCTGGATTGGATTTGGTATAAACCATAGATTGTATGGATGCAGGATGCTAAAGCTGTTTAATCATAAGAGCATATAGTTTTTGTGTTTTGCTTTCAGAAAAGGTGGTAATCAGAAATTGTTAGGTAAATCTTGGGGAGGCTAAAGAGATGCACTTTGCAAGGTTGGGGGTGAAACTAAGCAAGTATCCTATTAAGTGCTATACTTTCTGTATGTGCCTTACAGGATTTTATCTTTGTAAAAGTAGGTTTCTGGTGAAGTTTGCTTTAATATGTATGTTTTAGGCTTAGATGCCTCACCTCTGTGATAGACTGAGCAGGGCATGCTGAGCCTACCTCAGCATTGAGGGAACGAGAAGCACAACTTGGAGGTACTTCTTGGCCACCACAATACGCAGTCCACCCTCCCACCAGCCCACTTGCCCATCCATGTGTGTGGGTCTGTCCTCAGTTAGCCACACCGAGCAGCTGGACTCTGCCACCGCTCTTTGTCTAAAGTCATTGAGGGACTATATTTCAGGGAGGATTGCTGAAGACAAGTGGAGTTCTGCCACTCTTTCCCCATGTTCTCCCTGGATAGCTGACTGCCAGCTCCCTAGAACTGCGTTACATCACTCTCTAAGGGTTGCTGTTCCTACACAGTGTGGTTCCATCAGCTCAGCCTGGAAAGTGATCTTAGAAACACCCTATACCACTCAACATTTGGCCCACTATGATCATTATGTTGATGGATAGAGCTCATTAAATCATGCCCTGCCCCCTCTGTGAGTGCTCCCCAAAAGAAGTTGCTGTCTGATCCTGGTACTAGGAAGGATAGGAAGACTCCTGAGGTGTAATCTGTGTGTGTTTCATGGACACTGTAAATTGTGAAATAGATAACCTTTCTTCCCCTTACAGTGATAGCAAGAAAATCTGGAATCAAAACTATAGTCTCTAGCCTGCCCTGCATATGTACTTTGCACCTTCTCCCTCATTCTGTTTTGTTGTCTTTCCTGGGGTGTGAATATGCATGGTGTGTTCCTTGGAAAAGCACTTCATAATAGAACTAGCATCTAGATCACCTCCTTTTTAGGCTACAAGTAAATATGATAGACTCATCATATATTGCTAAGTTTATGAACTGAATCACATCATCCAAATTACTGAGAAATGTAAAACTGATATTTGCTGTGTAATCTTCCAGGAAATAAAAAAATTCATAAAGGGGGTTTCTGAGAAGATCAAGAAAACCAGAGATAAATATGGCATCAATGATAATGGCACAACAGAGGTAATGGCTTTCCCAGACATGGTGGACACCAAGGGGTTTTCAGGTGTGGCCATCCCTAATGCTGCAGTTTTGTTCTTTCAGCCCCGTGTGTTGTACCAGTTGGACCGAATCACCCCCACCCAGATAGAAAAGTTCCTGGAGACCTGCAGGGACAAGTACATGAGGTAGAGATGCTAATTACTTTAGGGTGGAGGGCATTCACATAGGTCTCATGTCCTCTGGCACATGTCCCCATGGGCATGGAACTGTACACCAGTGCTGTTTGGTGACTGCCAGCAGAGAGACATGTACTTGAGCAGAGTCTGTCAGCCCCTGTATAGGGACAGTAGGTCTCTAGGCTGGGTGTTCCTAGAAATGGAAATAATGAGAGATATTTGAGTGTCCTCTCACCACAGAGAAATAGCCTGGCCCATTGCAAATTCTTTCTTGGCCTTACACATGTTTTTATTGAAAAGCAACAATCAGAAGCCTCTCCCAGCAGTTTGTTGGACCTTTCTTTGTCATCTTGTATTTCCATCCATATCTATTCTCCTAGGGCCCAGATGGAGCCGGGTTCTGCAGTGGGTGCACTCTGTGCCCAGAGCATTGGCGAGCCAGGCACCCAGATGACCCTGAAGACTTTCCACTTTGCAGGTGTGGCCTCCATGAACATCACCCTGGGTGTGCCCCGCATCAAAGAGATCATCAATGCCTCCAAGGCCATCAGGTGCCCAGCCTCCATCTCCTTGTTGCTTGAGAAAATGATCCTGTTGTCACATGCATATGTGTAACACTCTAATGGGACAGTGTCTCAAGTCTGGGTGATGTGTTTGTTGTATTAGACATATTTTGGTGGTTATTTGGTTACTATAATTTGGTTAATCATATATTTGGTTAGCTGCTCAAGAAACAATAGTTCTTGGGACAAGATGAAGGCCTGAGCAGGTGCTGCCACAGATCCAGGCCACTAATGGAAGTGACCCTCCACCCAGATGACACAGGCTGTGTACACATGTCTTTTGGGCATATTGTGGCTAGTGAGAAATGGCATGTGCTGCAGCTGGTGCAGGAGATGTAAGAGAAAATTAAACTTGTTATTGTGGGTCATCTGACACTGGTAAATTTTTACTTGCCCAACAGATCCTGTATTCTTTATATCACCGAAATTGACTTGGGTGCAGGTAATGGCTACAGAGAGAGTCTTGTTCGGGGTAGAAATTCTAGTAATCTTCAAGAGATTATACTAGTTGAAAAGACATAGATGAGTGAACACTACTTCCCAGCTGTACAAAAGTTTACAGTGCTGGGTCTTGGGTGGTGTTGCTTCCAGTGGCCAGGCAGAGGGAAGTCTCCTACCTTATTAGCTTGTTAGTCCAAGAACAAACCAAAGAGCCCAGTAAGAACTCACTTCTCAAGAAGAAACACACTTCTGAGCTGGAAAAGTTAAATTTCCCCTTCCTCAGAAGTTCCCAAGTATCCAGCAACTAAGTAATGCATCCAGCCAAGTTGTTGTTGGACAAGCAGTAGCACAGCAGATGTACATGTTTTTCACACAGTCTGGGGATAGCTTGCCTTATGGCATTGACTACATTTTCTCCTTCAGATCTCAAACTACATAATTCCATATTTAACCCTTTGTGACCCAGTTATTTTCTACTTTGAGTTTCTTGTTGCTCCCATGTGTTTTCATTAATGAAAGGCATGCTGAGTCAAGAAGCATTTCTGAAATTTTGATTCATGTTGTGTGGGACACATATGTCCTTCTGGACTCTAGGCCATCTCTTAGATCCCTTCGCAGATGCATATAATGTAGGACACCTGAAAAATACACAAACATGGGGTCATCACAAGGGCAACTTCCCAGTAATGCACAAGATGCTTACAAGGCTCGTCTCACAGAAAAAGAGAGAAACGTTTTGCAGAATCACACCTCCAGGATGCATCACCTCACCAAAACCCTGTAAAAACAGTAATTTGTGACACACATCCATTTCTTCCCATTTCAAATAGTTATAGAGGTTTCCTCCTGACAGCTGCATGCACTGTCAAGTAGGAAAGTAGCTGTCCAGTAAACCCCAGAGGAGGAAAATATAGGTGGGCACTGTGTGCCGTGGGTCATAAAAGAGTTAAAAGCCAAGAAAAAGTTACTTCTTCTCACAGCAACTAATAAAAATTAGTGGAAGATAAGGTGTAGCCTATGTGGGACGTCACTCTCTGGGTTCAAGCCTTTGAGATAGTGGGCACCAGCTGGCACTGCCCTCATTCTTCCAGGATGAAAAGGGCCTTTGGGGATCATTCTACAAGAGTCCATTTAATTTGGACACTCTTAGACTTGGAGGAAAGCTAGCTTGGGCAGATTTTAATGTGTTACTTTGACCTGCATCTGTCATGGAAAGGTCTTCTAAAGCTTCAGATGGTGGGCGTGAACAGCTAAAGAAAACAAGCCTACATGAAGTCCTGTGTATCACAAGCCCCTTGCTCTTGATGTCTGCACTGCTATTCTTCAGATCTGGTCTAAAACCTGTGCTTTGAGGCTGCCAACATAAAGAAACAATTGTTCTCTATGACTGCAAGTAACAAGAAAAAACAATGACTGGGAAAATTAGAGCAATGTGTCAGTACAGTTTTTACCCCTTTGCTGTCATTATTCTCAGCCTAAATAAGCCTCACTGATGGTGTCTACCACTTGGGCTATGGCTGTATTCTGTGTGCCCTTGGTGATTTCATGTTGGGATTTATAAGTGACCTGAGATGAGGAGAAATAGAAATACATTATAGTGCAAGATCAGAATTCACCTGTGATCTGAATCTAACAAGACAACGGGGAATAGCATTAAGTGACAGAGAGCTGCATATGGTTCTACCCACCAGCCCACCTCTTCTGGTTGTTCAGACTGAAATGTGTTCAGGAGAAACCACCCAGGCCAGTGAGGATAGAATCTGCTAGCCTAGTGGCTGGAGGAGCTGGAGAAGCAATAATGGAGGTCAGGGGAGAGAGATGTAAGAAATTGTAACATACAGTGAGTCAATTGACTCAGGAAACAGAACTAAAAGAACTGCTTATTGGGACCAAAGAAGAAATGGGTTCACTTTGTAAGGAAGAATTTTCTGAAAGTTATCTCACTCATTGTTGGAGTGACTTGCCTCGGAAGTTCCAGAAATAGCAAGTCTTAATGAGAGTGAAGTAAAGCCCTTAGTAGCATGTCTGCCACACAGTAAATGCTCAGTAAATTGCAATTGCTATTATTATTATTATGATTCTAAATATGTCTGTTCCTCACTTACCAACCATCTCATTATCTGACAATTTACTTTTATGACAAAAGTAAAAAATCTTAACTATTTTGTACATTAATGATACATGTCTGGCAGCAACGAATGCTGAGGGGCAAAGCAAGAGAGATGCTGACTGATGATTAAGGTTATGTATCAATTTGGTTTGGCCATGATTCTCAATGGTTTGGCAGTTACGTGATGATGTAATTTGATAGTTATGTAATGATGTACTCTGGCAGTTAAGAAATGATGTGATTTGACAGTAATATAACGATGTAATTTGGCAGTTATGTAATGATGTAATCACCCTCCATTTGCACATAGCAACCTGGTCTTTGGAACCTAACCATGTTGATAAGTGAGGAGTAGGTACAGTATTTGGATTTAACAAGGCAGTGGTCTTCATGAAGGCTTTTTCCTGGGCTATAATCCTTTATCCTGTCCTTCTCCTAGCACTCCAATTATCACAGCTCAGCTGGATGAGGATGATGATGCCGATTACGCTCGCCTTGTGAAAGGGAGAATTGAGAAGACCCTCTTGGGAGAGGTAAAAAGAAATCCCTCTTGATAACAGGAAACTAGAACAGCAGGCTTGCAAGGCAGTCAGCCAGCCAATTGCAGCTGATTTACCAAGAGGGGATGCTCTTAACCAAGGGGGAACTGGCTGATGACCATTCTGATCTTTTGACACTACAGATTTCAGAGTACATTGAAGAAGTGTTTCTTCCCGACGATTGCTTTATTCTCGTCAAGCTTTCCCTGGAACGGATTAGACTTCTAAGACTGGAAGTGAGTCACATGATTAAATGTGTACTGGAAGTCATCTTCCCTTGGGCTCAACATAGGTGCTGACAAATTAGAGCAAGCGCTAAACAAGATGAAAGAGGCATTGGAAAGGCTTCTGCTGGGTTTCTGTTTTGGGTGATTCTATTGTACCTTCATAATCTCTCTTTCTAAACCTGATCCTGATCCAGGTACTGCCATCTAAAGACACATAGGAAATTATTTGAGATTTTGTGCTGGCCATAATACCAATGCACTTAGGGCACAGTGTCATAATCATTGATCTTGTGCATCCTGCCAGTTTCTGGATGGAACACAAAGCAGAGCTGTGTCGGACTCCTCTGTGCCTCCCCAGCATCTCGCACAGCACCTTGCTGGCTTGGGGCATGTATTTGGCTGGGTGGATTAGCCTGGTTTGCTGTATTGATGTGTATATGTGGAGATAACAGTTGAAAGACGATCAGCCTTTCTCACTGACAGGCATCTGTCTCTTTCGTTGGGTAGTTAAATCATTCATTGTTATGAGCTGCTGTGGAGTCAGCCCCAACTAATGACTCCTGGAACGATGGAATGAAACACTGCCTGATCCTGCATTATCCCCATGACCAGTTGTGGATCAGAGCTCTGTAGGGTTTTCATTGGAAGTAGAGTACCAGGCCTTTTTTTCTAGTCTGTATCAGTATGGAAGTTCTGCTAAAAGATACTCAGCATCATAGCAGCATTTAAGCCACCACTGACATGTATTGGTGGAAATAAAATACAGGTCTCCTTCGTGCAAGATGAGAAGTCTACCACTGAGCCACCACTGTACGATCCTAACCCATTATCAGCTCTTTCTCTCAAGTAGCAAATGTACTTGTTGGCCATATGACAATTGGTTGTGAAATTGAGCAGCCAGTTATCCTGTTTAGGGATTTCTCTTGCTGCCTGCCTTGTGGCTTTTTTAACAAGAGGAATGAGTTGGTGAAAGAAAGTAGCACATGAACAGTAGTGGTAATGTCAGATGAAGGAACCTTAGCTATCTAGTGCTCTTATAACATAATTACCACAAGTGGGTGGCTTTTAAAAACACATTTATTTTCACACAGTTTAAGAGGGTAGCATCCAGATTCAGGGCACCAGGTCTGGGGGAATGCTTTCCCTCTCTTGGCTTTGGGGGAAGACCCTAGTCTTTTTTTTAGCTTCTCTTTCTTGATTCCTTGGAGCTCATGTGTCAACGGCATCTATCTTTCCCCAACTCTCCTTGCTTGCTTGGTTGCTTATTCAATTTACTCTCGTTAGATCTCAAAAGAGATTGACTTAAAACACACCCTACACTAATCCTGCCTCATTAACATAACAGAAAACTTAGCCCCAAATGAGAATTTAACTGCAGGTATCCCAAACCAAACCCACTGCCATCCATTTGATTCCAACTCATAGCAAACCTCCATAGGATTTCCAAGGCTGTAAATCTTTGCAGAAGCAGACTGCCTCATCTTTCTCCTGCAAAGCAGCTGATGGGTTCAAACTACTGACCTTTTGGTTAGCTGCCTAGTGCCTTAACCATAGCACTACCAGAGCTCCTTAGCTATATATATATATATATATATATATTAAAAAAACCCACTGCCATTGAGTTGATTCCAACTCATAGTGACCCCCATTCGGGTTTCTTAGGCAGTAAATCTTTACAGAAGTAGATTGCCCAGTCTTGCTTCCGCAGGGTGGCTGGTGTTTGAACCACCAACCTTCTGGTTGGCAGTCAGATGCCTTAGGCACTGCTACCAGAGCTCCTTAAACCATAGGTATAGGAGTTAGGATTTACAACACATATTTTAGGGGAACATAGTTCAATCCATAATAAAGAGGAAGCTTCACTGAAGCTTTTACAATTGTCCTTGTCTCCGATCTACAGCTCCTTGGAGCTCCCACTGGGGTCTGGCCTTGCTATGAATTAGGCACATATTTTCAACAGGGGCAAAAATTGATTCTTTCAAGGGTATAACAACAGCTACTTTTGTATGAATAAAGCACAGATGATATACTAGTCCTCCCAGAGGCAACTTGGAAGAAGAGCCTGGCAGTCTGCTTTAAAAAACCAGCCATTGGAAGCCCTACGATTTTACTCAGTTCTACTCTAACCCACATGGGGTCACCATGAGTTAGTCTCAGCAGCAACTAATTTTTTTGTTATACATACAGTACATAGGGAGCTCTGGTGATGTAGTGCCTAAGGCATTTGACTGCTAACCAGAAGGCTGGTGGTTCAAACCCACCAGCCACTCTTCGGAAAGAAGAATGGGCAATCTACTTTCATAGTGATACCGCCTCGGAAACCCAAGGAGGGATTGCTATGAATCGGATCCAACTCAATGGCAGTGAGTTTTGTTTTTGGATTTTTTTTATACAGTACATAACCTGATGGGCAGTATATCCATGGCATTAAATTTTCATGGGAAGACAGGGAACAAATGACTTCTTAGGGAGGCAATATTGAAACAAGGTCAAAAATCACTGGAATTGAAGCCTCCGAGCCCATCAGTGATGTCTGGGTATGTGGCCCACACTGGTGCCTTGCAGGTGAATGCTGAGACGGTGCGGTACTCCATCTGCACATCCAAGCTCCGTGTGAAGCCCGGCGATGTGGCAGTGCATGGCGAGGCTGTGGTGTGCATCACCCCCAGAGAGAACAGCAAGAGCTCCATGTACTACGTGCTGCAGTTCCTGAAGGAGGACCTCCCCAAGGTGAGACAAGTCGCATCCTGGGGGCCCTTGCCCAGCTTAACGCCTCAAGACCTTGTAAAGGGTGAAACAGCATTTTCCAGTAGTGTCAACACCCAGTGTTAGGGAACCCTAAGGACTATGTCACTCTGACACCACCTCTGTGAGTACTGAGACTGATGGTGGCACACCATTTTCTTTGCTACAGCCTGAGGAATCAGTCTTTTTCCCCTTCTTAGCATTGCTGTGCTTACTCTGCCTGTTAGATTCTTCTCCCCTTTTTCCCAAAACTAGATTGTGACACAGTGCCCTGGCCTTCTGCTTCCTTCCTAACTACCAAAATAATATAAGGACATTTTTAGGTATAGTATGCTACTGATAATCACCACTGAGAAATGGAAGCTGACAAAATGGCACATTGAGGTGTGAGTCACCAAGTTCTCTCATGGCTGTTGGTTCTGAGGCTGCTGGGCTGGAGCGGGCCGTGCACATTGCCGTGTCTCAGGCCTCCTTGTCTCTGAATCCAGGTGGTGGTGCAGGGCATCCCAGAGGTGTCCAGAGCTGTCATCCACATTGATGAGCAGAGTGGGAAGGAGAAGTACAAGCTTCTGGTGGAAGGCGATAACCTGCGGGCTGTCATGGCCACACATGGGGTGAAGGGCACCCGGACCACCTCCAATAACACCTATGAGGTACCACGCAGGGGCAGGGGCGTGTCACAGGAGATGTCGTACTGTCTCGCTTTGGTGCCTTTTGCAGACCTTCAGCTGGCTTTAGCACATTGCTTTGTTCCTGCTGTTTGGGTCTACCACTAAAAATGGCTTAGCAGGCCATTTCCAGTAAGCAATATCGGGTTTGCTTCAAACCCACAGGGCAGAGGAAGAAGTAGAGGGGAATCTCAAGGTAGCATCCCAGAAGTGGCTGCTTTTGCTCATCCCTAGTTCTCCACAGGTGGAGAAGACCCTGGGTATTGAGGCTGCCCGGACAACAATCATCAATGAGATCCAGTACACAATGGTCAACCATGGTATGAGCATTGACCGGAGGCACGTGATGCTGCTCTCTGACCTGATGACCTACAAGGTGCGTGAGCAAGTCCTGGTCTCCTGACTCCCAGGTTCCAGAGAATAGGGGTATAGAGCTTTGAAGACTATGGAGACTGCACTGCTGTTACTGCTCACTCCCAAGAGAATAAGATGTTACAGGCCCCCAAAGCCAAAGCACAGTGATGAGACTGGGTGTTCTAGTAAAATCCCAATGTGAGAATTACATCTTCATGGCAAATTGTCACATCCAGCTGTTGAGTGAGGAGACATAAGACTGTTTTTTTTCCTTGTTATACATTGTATCTTAGACCAAAACTTGTTGTAGAGGGCTGTCCCTCGAGTGGATTCAAACTCAGCAACCCCATGTGACAAAGCAGAATTGCCCCATAGGGTTTTCTTGGCTATAATCTTTAGAGCAGTAGATCTCTAGGTCTACAGAGAATCCATATAGACACCGGGTAGTTGAAACTGCCAACCTTTCGATTCGCAGCTGAGTGCTTAACTGTTGTGCTACCAAGGCTCCTTAAAGCCATACTAACCATTGTCAAAATCTCAGGGATTTCTTTGGTGTTTTATCTGTATTAGACCCATTCATCACACTTCTATAGCTATTTCTAGGTAAAGGATAAGTACATGTGATCTGAAATGGGGAGCTGACGGTGACTGAGGTTGGTTGGTTGTTTACTTTTTCTATTTTTCTCAAATTAGTGTTCCCTGTAGGAGTGCCATAAAGCAGCAGCTTTTTCATATGTATTCCATATAAAGACTGTATTACGTTTAAGAACATTTAAAAACAAACAGAAAACCCCCTGCCATCAAGTCAGTTCTAACCCTGTGAGACAGAGTAGAACAGCCTCATCAAATGTTTTTTTTTTTTCCTTTTTTTTTTTTAACTTTTTATTGTGATTTGGGTGAAATTTTACCAAGCAGGTTTGTTTTCCATTCAACAGTTGTTACACATTTTGTTTTGTGACACTGGTTCCACTACCATGAAGTGAAGACTATCATTTTAAGTTCACCCCTTCTGTGTCCCTTCTGAAATTATTCTGTCCATAATTTTTAATGATGGCCCAATACTCCTTTGCATGCAAGTGGCTAAACTTACTTAACCCTTTCCCTACCTTGAGGCATTTAAATTCATTCTGTTTCTGGTTCTTTGAGCTCTAGTGAGTGTCTTCAGAAGTGCTCCCTTTTTTAAAGTTATATTCTTAATTCTAATTCTCAAACAAATTCAAATACTATTTTTATTTCTTAATACTTTGTTCCGGTAGCATCTAGCTGTGAGTGTAAAGACTCATATGTCAGGGGCTCATAGAGCATGGACACAGATGGTGGTTAAGATACTTTTCACATGTGAGGTTGTGACTTGACCAATTGCTTGGCTGGCTTTTGCTTATTCTGTTGAGGGGATGCAGTGGACATGGTTTGTTTTTCACCTTCTGTAAGTGGTGTGAGCTCTCTGCTTCCTCCTCCCTTGGTGCAGGGTGAGGTCCTGGGCATTACGAGGTTTGGCCTGGCGAAGATGAAGGAGAGCGTGCTAATGCTGGCGTCCTTCGAGAAAACAGCTGACCACCTCTTTGATGCGGCCTACTTTGGGCAGAAGGACTCTGTGTGTGGTAAGTTCAACATACCAAGGAGCATCATCAGGAGCTTCTGTCATCTACTGGGGCTAGGGCTTCTTGGAGGATGTGTTTACAAACCAAGTCATTGATTATGGGATTGGACCTGACCACTCTTTTGTCCCCACAGCCTGACTAGAGGCTCCTATATAACCCCTACATCTGTCAGAGGCATCTTGCTCTCAGTACAGTTGCAAGAGTCGACCATTTTGTGTCCTAGAAGAAAAGATCCACCAGGACATGGAGGAATTTTCCTCACCCTTGAAATTATAGTCCTCCCCACTGATCCCACGTCTTCAGTGTGGTATGAAGGTTGCCCAGGAGAGAGACCAAGATAGAGTAGCCCAGAGGGTAGCAGAGTGGTCTTGCTGTCCTGCTCCTGGGGAGAGCAGCAGTCATGCTATCTTCTCTCCAGTGCCAGGCACCATGTGCTAAATAAGTATCCTAGCAAACTCACAAGTGTAAGTATTGTACCTTCTGACAGCCGAGAAGACCAAGATGACCTAACTTGCCTGCAGTCAGACAGCAAAGCCTTAGTCTGCACCGTGCCCCATCATCCTTTCACGTGCCCCCTCCAAACACAGATACTGTGTCTTGCCTTCTCCTGGGCACTGCCTCAGGCTGGGAGGGAGAGGAACATGAGGGGAGTTGTGACAACAGAGGTGTCCGCTGCCTGCCCAGCTTTACTGACTCTGTTGGGGCTTTTATTCAGGCCATTCTGACTCTGCAGCAAGACCCTGCGGTCCCAAGGTAGGAGCTAGCCAGAGCCTGGGGAGGTTGAATGACCTGCCTAAGTTCATATACCAGTCAGGCCCAAAGCCGGGATTCAGAACTTCGCTCTCATTCTCGGCTCTAAAGCTCTTCCTAGTGGCCATTTCCTGTATCAACTCCCACTTATGCATGATTGACCAAACAGGTGATGGTCAGCAAAAGCCCCACTCAGAACATATGCCAATTTTTGTTCCTAAACTTGGCTTCCTCCTTTCAAAGGGGACCCAGGTCTAAGATGGAAGGAATGAGAAATGGCTTAAGTCTTGAGGATAAAGATTGGTACAGGAGAGAAACGAGGGTTGAGGGAGAGGTGCAGTGGGAGAAGGCTAAGGCAAAAAGAAGAACGAGTCTAAAGCCTAGCTTTCCCAAACCCAACACCAAGAAGCTGGCCCCTGTGCCTTTGCTGCAACCCAGCCACCCTCTTACAGCCCACTTACCACCTCCCCCTTCTTGGGGAGCCTGGCACCACCACCCTCCCCTTCTTTGAAATCTTTCCCCCTCCTCTGGTCGCTTGGCACGTTGTGACTCAGTGTTAGACCGCATTACATTTTGAGTTTTAGTTTGATTGTTGGCCTCTGTGTTCCCTGATCACACAGAGACTAGAACGTAGTAGGCACTTTATTGCTTGTGGTGGAATCAAAAGCCTAATATAAAGCCCAGCATTTGGATCTTATAAAAGCTGAACTGTAGCCTGGAGAAGGAATCTGCCCCGCCCCCTCATGTCTTTAACTCTACCAGAGTCGCATCTCTGGAGTGTTTCTGATTAGGCCTGTGGTTCTCCGGGGCTCGGCATGCTATGAAGCCTGGCCCAGCCCCTAGCCCTGAGCAAGCTAACAGCTTCCTCCTGCTGTTTCCATTGGGCTGGTATTCTCTACACCACTGTCCCCAGTTATTTGCTTTGCTTCTAGGCCCTACATTAAGGGAACTGTAAGCGGCAAACTCAGGATTATTATTCAGTATCACTGCTATCTCTGAGTTTAGTGTGCTCAGAGGTGGGCCTTCGGCTCAGATGGGAGAGGAGCAGGCTGAGCCAGCTCTCTCCTGCTGCCTGGCTGTGAGCAGGCATTGCCCCTTCCCTGAGGTTGTGTAATCTCCCGCTAGGCCTCCAGGAGCCATCTGGGAGAATGGTGTGGAACAGCCATCCCCATTGTAGGGGTGGATGGTCAAATGACTTGCCCCAGTGGAACTAGGTGATGGGAGTGGAGCCCAATTTTCCAACTCCTAAGTCAGTAGCCTCACCCTCCTGAGAAAACCCTCCTGTGTGTGAGGCACTCTGTAATCTCCACTCTGGTTGGTTTCAGGAGTGTCTGAATGCATCATCATGGGGATCCCGATGAACATTGGAACCGGGCTTTTCAAGCTGCTCCACAAGGCTGACAGGGACCCAAACCCTCCTAAAAGGCCCCTGATCTTCGACACTCAAGAATTCCACATTCCCCTTGTCACATAATCTGGAGAGATTGTTCTTGATCTTGGGCCCCTTGTCCTGTCTGGAAGGGGGCTCAAGACCAGCAGCTGACTGGGAAAGTTTTATGCTCCCTGAGACAGAGCCACCGGTGTCCCCAGCCTGTGCCAGTAATCAGAGGAGGTGGCTGGAGTCGCTGGGAGCAGTTCATCTGATACGGAGCAGCCCACACCAGAGACCCTGACCGTGGTACACTGCTTGGGAGAATGGGGAAGGGAATGGGGTTGACACCTACCTAGTCAGCACCTCTCGCCCAGCTTGCCTCCTTGGATGTGAGAAGAAGCCCCAGCCAAGCATCACTGCAAAACCCCATCTGACCTCACTCCGCTCCATACATTGGCTCCCATGGTGTATTCACAGCTGACCCTGAGCCAGGGCTAGGCCCCACACAGGCCAGGGCATGTTGCCAGTATCTCCATTCCTCTGCTGTGCTGAAGTCCCAATGTACAGACCCATGTAAATGCTGTTACCATTATTTTGTTTGCTCAGTTTGAGGGACTTGGGGATTTTATTGTTATTTTGGTTTTATTTTTCAAACCAAGAAACTATAAACCTAGTGTTGAAGCATCACTAGGAAAAACTGGGTACACGAATAGGACTGTCTAGAATTTGTAACTCAGCTGAGGCTGCCATGAGGCCCAGCATGTTCTGAAGTATCCTCCAAGACGTTCCTGGCTCCTGGTTGTTTTCTTGTACCTTCTGTCCACACGGAACGACTGCCTGTGACAAGAGTCAAACCCATTCTGTTTGGCTAGAGTTTGGGGCCTGCTGAGCTGAGGGCTGACTGACTTGGAGCCTCTTGAGTATACACGGAGGTGATGAGTAAAGTTGGTCCAAGGCATCTGCCCTGCCTGCTGCTGGCATCTGCACCTCTCCTGGGTCATCTGTATTTTTGCCCTGCTTCCCAGGGCCAAAGAGTGCACAGGGCAGGTACAGAACTGGGGCTCCAAAATGTGCCTCAGAGGCAGAGGTAGGAGCGGGGCCCTCCACAGTGCAGGCAGACACTAACTCTTAGGAGTAGAAGGGCCACTCAGGCAGAGGAAGGGCAAAGGTTGGGGCATCAACTGGAGCTCCAGGAAGTGTGCCCCAGTGGTGACAGCAGGCTCCTTGAGGAGAGTAAGTCTCCCACCATAGAAATCACACATCTCACGACTGAAAGAACAGCAGACAGCCCAGGAAGCCCTGCTTAATCCTTTGCTCAGCTTCTGCACAGTAACTGCACCACTGCTGGTGGGACTTTTGAACGGGTTTTGTGCAACATAGGAAAGAAATGTCACTTGTTTGTCTTCTAAAGAGAAGAAGGGTTTAGCTCCTGGAGACAATGTGTTCTTTGTTCTGAGTTTGCTCATTAGGGTTGGCCTAGGGCCAGGGAGAAGAAATGGTGATGGCTGCAACTCCCTTCCCTCTAGAGAAGGTTCTGTGGACCCCTCCTTCAGCCCTTCCCTGCCTAGAGCCGCATTGTTTGGAGGCTTCCTTCCTCCCTGCTGAGGCCTTGGGAAAACCAAGGCGGCTTAGTTGGAAGTAAAATGATAATTAAAAATGGGGATTTGACCCTACTCTTTTGTTCACGCACTTGAGAAAGTCAACTTCTGAAATGACACAGCCACCTTATCTTCCTTCGTCAGCCACTGGAAGAAACAGCAGCCAGAACCAAACAGTTTAGTGTTGAGCAAGAAGATGGTTTGGATGATTAAAGAAATGGGCGTGGTGAAAGAAAAGGTAGGCGAGGCCCACAGAATTCATGCGTTTTTTATGGAATTAAGCTGAATTCTTTGGGTGTTCACCAAGTTCAGGGTCAGTGCTGCTAGGGTACTGAGTATCACCATCATTCCTGGGGTTTGCATTAGAATGAATGCTTTCTCCCATACTGATGGGATTCTGAATTATGAATTCTTGATGTGGATTACTTTTGACCAATGTCCAGATTAGAAATTCTATTAAAAATTGCTGTTTGGAAAGTACAGGCATGTGAGTTAAACATTTACCTCAAGTAGACACACGCCCTGGAGAGAACAATCATAGGAGAAGGAAGGGCTGCTTATGCACAGGGAGACAGCTCAGGGTGCAGAAGAGTATGAAGGGATGGACACTGGGAGGAGGTAACTATGGGGAGGAAGTGGGATGGGAGCTGCTGCATTGTAAATTTTGGTCAATGACATGAGACAAAGTATATGTGAACTGCTGTATGAAAAGTGAATTTACTCTCTAAATCTTCACCCAAATCCTAAAAAAAAAAAAAATTGCTGTTTGGCTTTAGAGTCTCCCTGCACCTGTGGAATTGATCCATGAACTTCTCATGGGACATCAATGACATGAAAAAAAAAATTGCATTTGTCTGTGTGTTCAACCCTCTCATGTCTTTAAACTGAGCAAGCCTGGTTTAAGTTGAAGGACTGAATCCATTAACATCAATTTGAGGTGTCCACTTGAGACCTCACCAAAGTCACTGTTTCTCATGTAACCTGAGAAGAGCCCCATATAACTGCCTTCCTCAGAACTTGCCTGGAAGTTTTAGAGCATACGGGGCTGGGAGGGCAGAACTGAACAGCAGGAGAGAGTGCCGGCACCCACTCTCCTCTGTGTCCCACACACCATGGTGAAGGAGACGCTGGCAGCAGTGTGCTGCTGTGAGTTTGAAGGCAGCGAGAGCTGCAGCCCATCTGAGTGTGATGAGTGTGTGTGTGCTGGGTGCAGAGACAGAGCTGGGTTTAGATCAGCCTGTGGCACAGCATCACCGGTGGAACAATGTCCTGAGGGTGGTGGTCCTGCGTGGCACTGTCAGTCCTGCTGGATCTGTGCCATGGGCTAGGCTAGGCAGGCTGGTCAACCTTACTCTGTTCCCCACCTTTTCCATGGCTGGATGTTCTTGTCTCCTCCCTAGTGTGATCATCTACTCTGACCCTAGCATGTGATTTTATGTGAGTGTAAAATACAACCAGATAGGAATATATTCTCAAGGGTCAGTGCAATAGAGGGTTAGATTTTACCCCCCATCTCATCTATTAACAGGTATATAATTCTGACCTGAGACCTATCTGGTCCTTTGGCCTTTTTACATCTTTGTATAAGGGGATTAAAATAGCTGTTTGACTCAGTTACAGCTCTCTGCTTTGTTTGGCACTTGGGGGTGGGGAGAGACACCCTGGAGTCTTTCAGTGTCTGTGCCAGAGTTAAATTATGGTGCTGGGTTTCTATTTCGGGGTTTATCCATGTGTACTCACATTGATTCATGTCTAATTGAACCTGACACCATATAATAATTATTTTTCTTGCATTTTTTCTGTCTCTTGGCAGAGCTCTTACTTTTCTGCTAAAACTGAAAAGAGGAAAACTTGCTATATATAAAGCTCCAGCAGAGTCATCCTTGTGGGTTGTCAAACCAGGGTGATTGGGATGTGTGTAGATGGCTCCTGTGCCACAAGCCATGTCTTTGGGTGCTGGAGGTCACCAGTGAGTGCCCACTCCCACCCCAGTGACTTAGAAATGAGAGAAAAATATGATTGCTCCCACTGATGTAGCAAATCCCAACCCAGTGGGAGGCGCTGGAAGTGCCCCCTTTCCTGACTTTCAAGTTTATTGATTCATTCTACAAATACTGGTTGGAGACACTATTGTAGGTATTAGGAGTATAACAGTGAACAAAACAGGCAAATCAGATATTCGGATATTAAAGCGTCTAAAAAAAATGATTCTTCAGCAAAAGAAGGTGGAGCAGGGATTCAGAATCACACTTGGTAGAAATGTGTCCGTCCCATTCTGGGTCACAGCTGCAGGACTTGCTGCTGTGATTAGACTTGATACATCAAGCCTCAGCCCAATCCCTCTGAACCTACACAACCCCCTGGTTCTAATCCCTCCCTACAGGGGGCTTTGTGCCCCTAATTTGTCTTCCTCTTGGGCCTTGGATCCTACAAAGTATTCCTTAAACGGAGGGAACAAGCCTGCCATCAAAAAAGGATGCTGCCCTCCTCCGCCCACCACCAACATACAAGGTTAGTAAGTGTGCTAGTTAAGATTGTTGTCAACTTGGCTGGGCCTGGTTGAGTGGCTGGGCAGCTGGACATAGTTATTCCCCATGGTGAGATTGGCAGTCAATTCCATGGTGGAATCTACTTGAGTAGCTGCTTTAGCGATGTGGTCTGCTTCCAGTACATAAGAAGTAGCTTTGAGGAAGGTCTCTAGCTTTGGGCACACTTGAACCCTGTGTGTACCCAAGTCTTTATTCAGTAGCCTGCCATGCTCTGCTATCTTGGGACTTTGAGTGGACTTGAATTAATGGCCTGCCGTGCTCTGCTATCGTGGGACTTTGAGTGGACTTGAATTAATGGCCTGCCATATGGTTTGGTAACATCAGGACTATGCCTTTTTACATGTTGACCTTGGGTTTGTCAGCCTCAGCAGTCAGCAGCTGCCTGAGTGAAGAAAACCTCCAGCTTCAGTGGGCTGGGAGCCAGAGGCAGAGCTGAAGCCCAAGGTCAAGGGGCTTTCACCCAGCCCCTAGAGCCCAGCACTTTGAACTTGTACTTCTAGCCTCCAAACTGTAAGAGAATAAACTCCTATTTGTTAAAGCCATGCCATCTGTGGTATATTCATGTCAGAGAGGCACTAGGTAACCAAAACAGTAAGTGAGCATTTAAACCCATGAATAAGTTGCTCTATGCCAAATGGTGATGACAAATCCAGTCCCTGCATGGGTCGTGATCATCTCATGTTTAAGAGACTAGGTTCTGTGATCAGACTGTGGGATTCAAATCCCTACTCCCTCTTTCTATCTGCTAACCTCAGACTAATGACTTAATCTCTCCTTACCTCACTTTACTCATTCATAAAATGGGAATTATAATAGAACCTAACTCTCAGAGTCATTGTGAAGTTTAAATGTTACTATGTGTATAAAAGACCAGCATAATGCCTGGCTCACAGTACACATTCATTAAAACATCTTCAGTTATGGTGACTGCTACTGTTTTTACCAAAAATATTGT